ACTTCTCTTCGTGGTTTTTTTTGTTTGTTTTTGTTTTTGTTTTTGTTTTGTTTTTGTTTTGTTTTGTCTTCATGCGTCGGGGTGGGAGCGGGGAACAGGGGAGGTTGATTATCAGCGTGTGCGTCTTGGAAGGGGAAGGGAAAGGAACATGAGGAAGGCGGGGGCCCAAAGATCCAGGGCAGTCCCTGAAACCGCATCTTTTCCGTGCCCCGAGGGTGCAGGTGGTGGCGCACAGGCAAAAGCGTGCACCGCAGGGCCCGGTGCGTGCACGGTGCTGGAGCACCGAGGAGGCCCGGCGGCGGGGCCGCCGGGGGCGAGCTCACCTTGCGGCCGTTCACGTAGAAGAGCAGCTCTGCCGCCTGGTCCATGGTGGCAGCCCGTGGGTCCCACGGCGGGGGCTCAGGGTCCGAGGGTCCCGAGGAGGAGTCGCCGGCACCTGGGATCCGGCGACGCTGACCGGGCGAGGGAGAACGGGCTGCAGGAGCCTCACGTCCAACCACCCCCGAGGAAGAAAGTCTCAAATCAGATCCAAAGTCCCGTGAGCGCCTGGCCAGGAAAACTCTCCCCGAGATATCGGACGTCACCGCCCCCTCCCTCTGGCTGAGACCATTGGCTGAGACCTTTATCTCCTCGCCTGCGGCGCGCGGCGTCTGGGCCACACTCCCCCGCCTCTGAGCAGGTGCTGCGCGTCCCAGACATCTCTTTGGTCGTCTTATATGAGTACACATTTCAAATGGCTTTCCAGCTGGGAACGGTGGGGTCTTTGTACCTCTCCTCCCACCACGCCTATTGCAGCCCTGTGCTCTTAATAGTTCGTAAACAATTACATTCATTCCGGCTTTGCACGAAAGGAGCTTTAGGACAACGGATGGTTTTACAACTGTATCTCACAGTTTCAGAAATAATTATTTTAGTTTTTTTTAATATCAAGAGCTACCTTGATATAGAGATAAACTACTTTTTAAAGTGTTATCATTATTCATAGTTTATCCCAGTAAATAATCACAGTTTATGTGATGTGTCAACCGTGCTATAAAACATCTCTAAAAACTTTTTAAAAGTAAAACTTAGAAAGTACTGAAAAGCATAAAAATAAGTCACCCGTGCCTACAACTTAGAATTTACCACCTTCTGGATCAATCTTTGCATTTTTGAAATCTGCACCATAACACCTTTTAAAAACTCAAATGGGATTAAACTCTTCTTTAGATTTCTCTTAATATACCTAGAACATTTCCCCATGTTATTTAATTTATATAAACATATACATTTTATTGTGAAACTTTCTAAAATTTGTACATGAAAGGGTACAACTAGCATCCCCATACACCTCACTCACTGAGCTTTAAAAATGTTCAACATTTTGCCATGTTTTTTTCTGGAGTATTTAAAAGCCAATGTCAGACACATTATTTTACCCCTAAATACTTAAGAATACATTAAAAAATTTTTTCCTAAGCCAAAAAGCCACTATCAAATATAACAGAAAGAATATTTTAATATCTTCAAATTTCCCAGTGTCTTTTAAAAAAGTCTTGTTATATTTGATTTCTGCTTGATGTATGTGCTTATTGTCTCTTCAGTCTTTTTAAATCTAGACTAGTCTCCTCGCCCACTGCCCCATTTCAATACTATTAACATGTTGAAGACACTAGGTCAGTCGTCCAATAGAACGAACCACATTTTGAATACAGCTGGTTGCTTCTCCCTGGTGTTTTTTGTTCTTCCATCCTATGTATTCCCTCTGCCCTGCATGTGGATCTAAAGCTTTGATTACATTCAGGTTAAAATTTTTTTTTACCCTCTTGGATTTTGTAATTGTATCTTTCTCTTATGTCAAATATCTTGGTTCTGAAGCCTTAACATAATTGCTTTATCTTGTCCTTAGATCTATTTCAAAATAACCATATCAATATTATGGCAGCAATAAGACTAGAGAATAAAAATTTAAGATTTCTTTACAGTTCTTTTATCCTTAGAGTGTATCCTAGTGAAGACACAAGTTCAAAATACTTTCTAAGGTCAGGTATCTGTCACCAACTTGATAGTTCTCATTTTCAGTTGGCTTTCAAGTTAGCTGCCCCTTATTGTTACTTAGGTTATTCCCCCCAACCCCTTTCTTTTATTTTTTTGCTATTACAGACCATACCATAGTGAAATATTTGTATTTTTTCAAGAGCAGTTTTGGTAGTTTCTTAAATGTGGGATTGCTGGGTCAAATGATTGATTTCATCTGCATATGTAATTTTGTGGATATTGTCAAAAACTTTTCTAGAAAGGTTGTATCGTTTTGCATTCCCTCCAGTAATGAACAGGAACCTGCTGGGGTTTAAAAAAAAAAAAAAGGAAGAGACTGAGATTGTTAGAACCTAGAAACCTGGAAGAGACGTCTGAGGGGAGGGCACTACTCAGCTGCTGCTGAAACCTCAGGAGGTAGGGAAAGGGCTTCCTGGAGCTGGAGCTTAGATCTCAAATGACAGCGTGTGGTGAGGATGGGGCTGATACCTCAGAAGCCTGACGAGGCTCCCTGCCGAGCCAGGCCTGAGGCCTGTGAGGGGGCGCCGCCTAACTGGTGCTGGTCTGGGAGTGCTAAACCCACTGATGACTGGAGCCAAGGGTTGCCCCACGTGCGATGTCATTGCTGCGGCAATGCTGACAGGAAAAGCAGGCAACTAGGAAGGAGCGAGTCCCTTTTCCCTCTTTCTGATTTTCCATCTCCTTCTATCACCCTCTATTGACAGAAGTTTAAAAAGTCAGCTAGCAAAGAAGAAAGGTGATCTGCAGAGTTCTAGCATCACACAGCAAAGGAGAGGGGCTTGGCATTGAGACAGTAACTGGCACACATTAAAAAGTGGGTTTATTCCATGAGAACAAGAATGTTTCAGTATCAACAAATTAATATAGCCTTGTGCTAATTATTAAGCTCCTGTGTTTCAACTTCAAATCCACACTTCTCTACTCCACTTTAAGGCCAGGCCTTGGCAAACTACACTTCTCATTTGCCGGGCTCCCTCTCAGTCTCTGGCAATAGAAGGTGGTAGAGGGGAACAGAAAGGATGGAGAAGGAGGGAGAAATTTGCTCCTGTTTGCTTCCTGTTCCTATCAGCATCCACATGGTTCACCCTGGCAGGAACCGACTTCAGTAGCCACAGCTGGCTCCATTCTGCAGCTTTTCCACCCTATCAAGACCAGTCTTGTCACAGCCCTCAGGGAAACAGCACCCACCCCAGTCTTGGAGCTCTTCCTCTAAGCCTGTAAGTTTCAATAATTCCATCCTTTTCTCTGTGTTCCCTCAGCCCCAGAGGTGGTGGGTGCTTCCCACAGTCACTTCCTCTGTGATGCTCCGCTGGTCCCTTTTGCTTTCTTAGTTCTTGGTCAGTTCGCTAGAATATTGTTAACCATTTATAAGGTAATTGTGGTTTCTGTCTCTTAGCTGGACCCTAATTAACATTCTCCATCAATGTGAAGTCACTCACAAAATTCAACACTCAGTCATGATTTTTTTTTAAAAAGCACTCAATCAAATAGTAATTGATAGATAATATTTTAATGTGATTACAAATATACATAACCAGCTCAAACCACAGTATCTTACTTAATGGGGCAAAACCAGAGACATTCCCATGAAAATCAGGAACAAGACAAGGATACCCACTATTCCCACTGCTATTTAACGTTTAACATAAGGTAGCAGCCATGCCATTAGGCAAGAGAAAGCAATGAGAGGCAAAAGAATGGGGCGGGGGCGGGGGGAGAGATGGCTGGGTTTTCAGATTTATCTAGAAAATATTACAAACAATAACAGAGTTTAGTAATTAACATACAGAAATCAATTATATTCATATACGCAAATGATAATCAATCAGAAGAGAGAATCAGAGAGAAGATCCAATTTGTAATACCAAGAAAAAAAGACAGAATACCTAGGTATCAAGAAATGTGGCAAACCTCTGAGGGAAGCTTTGAAACTCCTCTAAAAAGTCTCTGTAATTAAAAAAGGATGGTAATGGGGCATAGTAGAAGGGAACAGAAAATTGAGAAATAAATTTAAAAGCACATGCAAATACAACATTGAAAAAGGTGGCACTTCAAATCAGTAGTGGAAACATGGACTTTTTAATGAGGAGTCATTTGGAAAAAGGTCAAAATTGCATTCATACCTCACAGTATAAAATAAAACAAAATCCACATGAATCAAATTTAAATGTAAAAACAAATGAAACCATGGGTAAACGTCTTTATAATCTGGGAATAGGAAAATTGTTTCTCACTGTGACCAAATTCTACCAGCAATAAAAGGTTGGTAAGTCTGATACATACAGTGAAAAATAATTTGCATGGGCAGGGAAACAAAGAAAAGACAAAGTTTAAGGAAAGGAGAGAAAAAAGTAATGCACAATAGGAAACATAGTACCAGAGAATGGCTCCAGGCGGTCCGAAGCTTTAAAGTAACAGGAATACAGGAAAGAGAACAGGTTGTCAGGGTGCCAAGCTTTTAACCACTGTGTAAACTGTTCCTTTAATAAAGCCTCTAGCCTCCATTCAACCAACACTGTTGACACATGAGGAAGTTCTGTCAGACTATAGTCCTACAGCAGGTTCCTCAAAGT